AAACATCGACTCGGACCACTATCTTGTTGTAGCCAAGATACGCACCCGCCTCTGTGCAGCAAAAAATGTGCGCCCAACAATGCAAGGAAAGCTTAACGTCGAAAAGCTGCAATCACAACAGACGGCCAATTTATTCGCCACTCGACTCACACACCTGCTCTCTGAGAGCACTCTTCAACAATCCGACGTACGCGAGCAGTGGAACCACATTTCCCGATCATTAAGTACCGCCGCCGAAGAAGTAGTTGGATTTCAGCGAGCCCGAAAGAACAACTGGTACGATGAGGAATAACCCCTGCTCTCTGAGAACACTCTTCAACAATCCGACATACGCGAGCAGTGGAATCACATGCGAGCCATGTGGGACCGTTATAGGGAACTGAAGAAGGAGGCGAGACGTATTTGCCGCAATAAGAGAGAGGCCGAAATACGTGAGTGTGAAGAGCTTGAGACGCTGGCCGACAGGAAGACCGCCCAAAAATTCTACCAGAGGGTTATGCGACTTACGGAAGCTTTCAAGACCGGGGCGAACTCCTGTAAAAACAACAATGGCGACCTAGTGACCGATGTCCAGAATATACTTAAATTGTGGAGGGAACACTTTTATAACCTACTGAATGGTAGCAGCGCTGAAAGTAGTGAGGAAGACGAACCCGAGTCCCCAGTCGATGATGATGGAGTAGCTGTCCCACCGCCTGACTATGACGAGGTACGAATAGCGATTACGCGGCTGAAAAACAACAAAGCTGCTGGAGCTGACGGCCTGCCAGCCGAGCTATTCAAGTACGGCGGCGAGGAGCTGATGAGGTGCATGCATCACCTCGTATGCAGAATATGGTCAGATGAATGCATGCCCGACGACTAGAATTTAAGTGGGCTCTGCCCAATCCACAAGAAAGGCGACCCCGCCATACGCGCCAACTACCGCGGAATTAGCCTTCTAAGCATAGGTTACAAGGTCTTATCGAGCGTATTGTGCGAAAGACTGAAGCCCACCGTCAACGAGCCAATTGGACCTGATCAGTGTGGCTTTAGGCCTGGAAAATTCACCATAGATCAGGTATTCACAATACGCCAAATCTTGGAAAAGACCCGCGAGAATAGGATCGACACACACCATCTATTTGTCGATTTCAAAGCCGCTTTCGACAGCACGAAGAGAAGTTGCCTTTATGCCGCGATGTCTGAATTTGGTATCCCCGCGAAACTAATACGGCTGTGTAAAATGACGTTGAGCAATACCACCAGCTCCGTCAGAATAGGGAAGGACCTCTCCGAGCCGTTTGATACCAAATAAGGTTGCAGACAAAGGGACTCCCTTTCGTGTGATAGATAATAAGAGCCACATAACTCAACCGCTCAGGCACAATACTTTACAAGAGCGTACAATTGCTGGCGTATGCCGACGACATCGATATTATCGGTAAAAACAAGGGCTACGTCTGTTCTGCCTTCTCGGGATTGGATAGAGAAGCAAAGCGAATGGGTCTGGTGGTGAACGAGGACAAAACGAAGTATCTCCTGTCAGCACACAAACAGTCAGAGCATACGCGTCTTGGCACCCACGTCACTGTTGACAGTTACAAGTTTGAAAAAGTAGACGACTTCGTTTATTTGGGAACCAGCATTAACACCAATAATAATGTCAGCCTTGAAATCGGACGGGGAATCACTCTTGCCAACAAGTGCTACTTTGGGCTGAGTAGGCAATTGAGAAGTAAAGTCCTCTCTCGTCGTACAAAGATCACACTCTATAAGTCACTCATCATGCCTGTGCTGGTGTATGGCGCGGAAGCATGGACAATGAAAGCATCTGATGAGGCGGCTCTTGGAGTTTTCGAGAGAAAGATTCTGCGAAAGATTTACGGACCTTTACGCGTTGGTGATGGCGAATATCGCAGACGATTTAACGATGAGCTGTATGAGCTTTACAACGATATAGACATAGTGCAGCGAATTAAAATTCAGCGGCTCCGCTGGCTTGGCCATGTCGTTCGAATGGACAGACACGCTCCTGCTCTGAAAATATTCAACGCGGGCCGCGATGCTGGTAAGACCAGGTGAAGAAGGACTTGGCTTCACTTGGCATTTCCAATTGGCGTCAGTTAGCACAGAAGATAAATGACTGGCGTGCTGTTTTGGACCCAGAAGAAGTTTCTAAGAGTTACACCCTTATTCTAAAACCCGAATTTTCGTAATTCGTAGCTATGTTACGATTAAAGAAAAATCGGCATGCTGCAACCCTTGCGGAAAAATGTGCAGCACAGCCAGCTATCACTTTTTTTTCCCAAGTCAGCTGTGTGAAGGAAAACAAAGTGGAAATGAAGTAAAAAAACACTCATCATGTGCTTGTTTACGGTAAAATCTGGTTGTTGTTAAACATTTTAAGGAAAATTATGGATTCTGATGCATTTGCAGTTATAGCAGCGGTGTAAGAGCGCGCTTTGGTAATGCACTCACAAAGGTATGCGGAGCTGCTGGGCATAGTAACCATGGGCGCATCCATATCAGCTTCTGGTTGAATTGTTGAAACACAAGCCAGAGCTCCTCCTATGCCTGAAGCTTTGGTTCTCAATCCAGTTAATGCAATAACAGCTTCTTCCAAGCCATTGAAAACATGCATTTTGTTAGGTCCACCACCTGTTGCGCTTGCTTCTGCCTTCGGCCGCGCTTAGGGATTGCAACCCTTACTAAGTAGAATTTTCCTTTCTGTGTTGCCGGAGAAGAGGGGCTATCTCCGCATGTCTAAGGTATACAGCATTTCTTGTGCATATCACATTCCTCCTTATTCTAGAACCCGAATTTTCGTAATTCGTAATTCGTAGCTACGCTACGTAAAACAATAAATCCACATGCTGCAACCCTTGCGGAAACATGTGCAGCATTGCCAGCTATCAGTTGTTTTTCGAAGATAGCTGAATGAAGGAAAACAAAGTGGAAACGAATTAAAAAAACACCCACAAAGTGCTTATTTATGGTAAAATTGTTTGATTTTACATATTTTGAAGGAAACGGTGGATTCTATTGCATTTGCAATTATAGCAGCAAAGTAATAGCCCTGCCAGATAGAGTACGTTACGTACGTTCCGGCTTCAGCGTTCAACTGACAAGGCGTACGAAACGCATAGGTACGCCACAATGAAAGCGTTGTCGCATGTAAACAAGTCAGCTGTTTTGTACTGGCGGCAAATTTTTCTTTGAATTCAAAATATATCTATATTTTTAGTTGTGCTAATATTTGTGAAGAAGATACAAAAAATGGAAATAATTGAAGTTATTTTAATATTGCTAATGTTGCTGGAAGCCAGAGAATGCTTTAACAGGCTTTATGGAGGCCGTAGATGGTGGGTGTGACCTCCTCTAAAGAATCGCGACACTCACGGATTTTTCGCCACGAATTTTGGATTTAGGGAGGAATTTAAGAAAAATATAAGGATGGAAAAGCACATTTTTGAAATGCTATGGGCTATAAAACTGCATTCTTAGAATTTTTGCAAAGAGTCTGATTAAAAGTTGCAAATATGTATACAAATTTATTAAATTTTCCTGAGCCTTGTACAAAGTTTAGAGATTTTAGTCTGAACAGTAGTTTCATAAAAAATTTAAAAAAATAAAGAGTAAACAATTTTGCATACATTGTGAACAATTCTGTGTCAATAATTTTGCGCGGCACTGTATATGTACATGAGCTTTTGTAATACATATTTTTGTGATATCTATTTATTTAAATAAAATTTTCTTATTTAGTTTATAACATTACATTTCATTGCGTTACAAGAGATCATGTACAGACACCTGGTAGAATAAGTTCTTTTTTAAATATTCACAAAACTTTTCGTGTTAAATATTTTTTATTTTTAAATGGTTTATGTTATAAAAAACACGTAAATCCAAGTTTCAAACTTTATATTATACTCAGAAAAGTTAAAAAATTTTCATTAAAATTTCAAACTTTATTTATTAAAATTGGAACACAGTCCTATAGTCTATTATTTTTAATATAATAAATTGCCAGTGTGAAGTTGCTAAAAATCCCGTTGATTTTTAATATTTTGTTAGCTGACCGTGCTACACTTTTCCTTGATACATATACATATACATACCTTCATGGTTTCACACTTGCACTTTATTATAGTAAAAAATAATGGACTATAGGACTGTGTACCATTTTTTTTTAGAAAATTGAATAAACTTTGAAATTTTAATGAAAATTTCTTAACTTTTCTGAGTATAATATAAAGTTTGAAACTTGGATTTATGTTTTTTTTTATAATATAAACCAGTTAAAAATATAAAAGATTTAATACAAAAAGCTTTGTGAATATTTACAAATTGATAAGTAAACGCGGACTTATTTTAATACGTGTATACATGTACAAACATATATATATATATATATTTACAGTGGTGGAAGTAATAATAGAAACTTTTTATTTTGACCAGTTTTGGCTATATTACTTTTGTTTATTTAATGTTTAATATTTTTTATAAAAGCCTAGCGCATTATATAACACACACCATATAAATCCACATTTCAAACTTTGTACAAAAATTATAAAAATTCAACAAATTTTACCGAAATCCCCCAAAAATTTCAAACTTTTTATTTAGAATTTTGGTAAAATTTGTCGAACTTTTATAATTTTTATACAAAGTTTGAAATGTGGATTTATATGGTGTGTGTTATATAATGCGCTAGGCTTTTATAAAAAATATTAAACATTAAATAAACAAAAGTAATATAGCCAAAACTGGTCAAAATAAAAAGTTTCTATTATTTCTTCCACCACTGTATATACAAAACGTATAACACTAAATTATTTTGAATTTTTAAATCAGTTCATTTCATAACATTCATTTTGTACTTTCTATTCAGTTTATGTAAAAAAAGAATTAAAATAAAAAATTAAATAAAGACAACAAATTGTATTCCATTAAAAACAAATTCAATTAAAATGATTAAATAAATTAATTGAAATAAAAGTAAAATAAGGTTTTTACATGACAACAAATTGCCCGCCATTAAAAACAAAATTCAGTATTTCAATTTTCATTCTGTCTTGAACATTTTCTTCATATTTCAGAAGATAGCTGTCTAGAACATTTAAGAAATCGGAGTTACGGCTAACTGGTTGTGGAGCAGCTTCTGATTTTTTTAGCCAGTCGCTTACGGCTCCACATAGTGGCCAATCGCTCTTCATCTTTTTTCCGATTCAATGCTCTAGAAGTGGTCACAATTGGCTCTTTTTCGGGTTGGAAGTCAACAAGAGACGTTGGCGGTGATTGGTGAACCACTGTAGTTAGCCCTGTCTGCTGCGTCTGCTCAAATACGGGCTCCTCATTCTCGCAATATTCGAAAAGAGGTTGCGACTCATATACATTAATGGAATGCTCAGGCTGCGGTGTGCATTTTTCACGATCTATGGTGGTACCAAACGTTGCGTTGTCAAATGTCCTTAAATAATATATGTACAAACAAAACCTTGTAGTCACATGAAGACTATTTAAGGTGTTACAACACAGTTAGCGACAGCTAGAATTAAATTTTTTTTCTAAAAAATGTTTAAAATTCCAAAATATGTCTATTATTTAAGGCGATCATGCGGTGTAACTCCGTAATACTCTATTAGGTATTCGGGACTATCACTGTAACCATCGCAGTCCGATTTTTGTGAAACTACGAAAATGTAATCACTGAATATCAATTCCTTGGAACGTATTCTTTAAAGAATATGCTACGTTCGTAGCTATGTAAGTATGTACATACATATGTATCCGTTCAGTGATTCAGTGATAGCTTTTTGAAGATTTCACGATAAATCTGACTACAGTGGATTCAATGATAGCAATGGTTGCATAAATTACTTGCGTGGTGACACGTGCCGTTGCAGGAATGCCAGTGCCTCGTAATATTTCCATCCACTACTGACCATGTCATTTGCAGCACTCCCAGAAGGCGCCTTTCTTCCGCTTTCGTCCTTTACAAATCGGTCGCGAAGTGACCTCCACCGACTCTGACACTGTTCCACTGCGGATTAATTTTTAAAAACATTGGAAAACACTCACAAGATTATTCAATCACCACTTACCACTGCAACCTATAGCGCCCGCCACATAATTCCACGCTTTTTCTTTCGCCAACCGGTTTCTATAAGCCACACTGCTTTTATCATATAAGCAAGGGTGCATTTGCACCGCTTCTATTAATTTATACTCCATTAAATATTTCCAAATTATGTTTTCCTTGTTTTTAAGGAATTTTATTGAGCAAACGAAAAATTAAAAGAAAATGGCCCGAATGATACTGAAATGGCAAATGTGAACGTTGACGGACTTACTTGCGTCAAAAGTTGAGTGTTGGCCAACGTTCGTGGGTTCCGCCAACGCAAGGGTTGCCAATCTGGCGCTCTCTATGCAAACACACACAGTCTACTCAACTGTCAGTTTCATCCTTGAGCGGAACGCACGTAACGTGCTCTATCTGGCAGGGCTATAAGAGCGCGCTATGGGAATGATTTCCCAAGATATGCGGAGCTGTCGGGCATAGTATATGTCTGCTTCTGGTTGCCTATGCCTTAAGAACTGGTTCCCAATCCAGTTAATGAAATAACAGCTTCTTCCAAGCCATTGAAGACATGCACTTTGTTAGGTCCACCACATGTTGCACTTGCTTCTGCCTTCGGCCGCGGTTAGGGATTATAACTCTTACTAAGTAGAATTCTCCTTTCTGTGTTGCCGGAGAAGAGGTGCTTCCGCATGTCAAAAGTATATAAAATTTCGTGTGCACATCACTTCAGCTACGCCATCCACAGTATCTTTGCCCAGAACCCACGTCGCAATTTGCAAAAAAGTGCATAGTGCAAACCGAATTTATTAATAAGATAGTGCTCGGAAATTTGACCATTTATTTTAAATAAAATTTTAATCCTTTGATTACACGTGATGTTAAAGTTTTTGGATTCGGATTATGCGTTTGGACACAACAAACGAAAATCATTCTACAAATAACTAAACCAGACCCAAGTTTCTCGATAAAGGGCAACAAAGATTCTGTTTTACTCGTTTATATAAAGCAGTGGATAAAAATATACGTATGTATATGCGAAGGGCAAATTTATCTGTTTAAATGAACACCACTAATATTTCCTACAAACACACATCGATTTACGTCTTTTATCTCGCCTTCGACACAGCATTGTTTTCGTACAAAATTACGCAAAAAAGCTTACTCGTTCGTTTTTAGGCATGCCATTGTTACGAATTTCGAAAGTTCGAAAATACGATTCGGATTGCAGCATACTATTTCTACGATTCGTAGCAAAATCCGAATACGAAAGAGTTGCAGAATAGGGGTGATTATTTTTGCGCACAACCCACATCGAAATTTGCAAAAAATTGCATAGTGCAAACCGAATTTATGAATAAGCTAGTGGTCGAAAATTTGAATTATTTTAAATAAAAGTTTAATCCTTAAATTTCGAAATATTGCAGTTTCAACAATTCTGAAATTTATAATATTCTTATTTTTCGTCTAAGTTATTGTAAATATCAATTTTGAGTGAATAATCTTCAGTAGCTAATAAAACATCGCAGTTTTCGTATTTCTGAAAATCTACCGTTATATGGGTATTTTTACCCGAGTTATCGTGTGCACAGATGGACGGACAAGCAGTCGCTGCTTTAACGATTTTTCTTTTCATTCTGATCATTTATGTATACATTTGTGTATATCTATCTCGATTCGTTTCAAGAATGATAGAGTGAGAGTAATTTTGGCGTGACGTCACCGTAGAGTTGACAGCTGAGAGCGGCAAATAAAAGTGCTGTCTAGTGATGTGCTGAATTGTCGGTACCCAATGCTTGATTCTGTAACCAGTTAGCGACAAGTTTTGGATCGATATCGCACTTGTTGACGTAAAAATATTTCATATCATACGTCAACAAAACCTATACCGATTCGAAAATTGTCGCTAACAGGTTACAGAATCTGCCTACAAAAATGATATCGTCCGATTAAGCTGGACAAACAAGTAAAAGTTTCTCCGTATTATGGCCTTGAACCGACATATATACATCTTTCATTTGAATCAGTATTAAAAGCTCTATTGGCTCCTACATTCGGGTTTTGATAGTCGAGTCTCCACTGAACCGTTTTTCCATATTTTTGGCCTATGGCCCTGTGCCAATCGGTAACTTTTTTCTCCGTGGTGAGACGGGGTGGAAAAATTTGCTATGGTGTACAAATAAATTGAATTTTGCTGTGCCAAATGCAAAGTAAAAATTTGACAGTTGAAAAACCAAACAAACGCTCGTGCGAAAGCTCTATTTTTGTGTGTTGCTGAAATTCTTAAAATTTATATTTATTTTATAATTTGCAAGTAACGTAAGCTTTTTTTATGCTGTTTCAGCTTTCATTTTCATGTTCACTCCTTATTACCGCCAAGCAATATTATGTGTATACATGGTTATAAGTGTCAAAATTTTACCTAGCCCCATGAGCTAGGTAAAATTCTGACGTTTTTGTTCACCACAAGAAATGTCAGATTTTTACTTTGATCCGTCAAAATTTTCTCTTTTCTATCATTTGGCACAGGCCCTATGTGCGCTTTTATTTGAAACCTAAATGTTTCGGTACCGAGTATCTAGAGTATTGGATACTTAAAAGTATTAACTCAGCACATCACTACTGCTGTCATCTCGACTGTAACGTCGGAAAAACAGCTGATTCTGTCAAATTCACTGAGAGCCGATTAGCGGTATTGTCATCGGCGCCACCCTCTGTATTCTCTCCACCGGGGATTCGTTTTGCCTGTTACAAACAACCGTTATGTGAACAAAGTTATAATACCCTTGTGCACAAGCGCGCTCTGGTATAAAAATATACGTATATGCGAAAGGCAAAGTTATATTTTTAAATAAACACCACTAATATTTCCTGCAAACACACATCGATTTACATCTTTTATCTCGCCTCCGACACAGAATTATTTCGAAAGTTAGAAAATATGGGTCCCTATTCGATCTTCGACTGTGGTAGAAAGTACTAACCGAACGAATTTTCATTTGGTATTCTGGCACTCATTCGATGAAGAATACCGCTATTGTGAATTTCGCTCGTTTAGGTTGTTCACAATAGCATATTTTTCACCGCTGAGAAGCTTTGTTTACAGATCGAGCAAACTAAATAGAGTGCTTATACATATATACATATGTAAATTTGTGCAAATTAAAATGAAATAAAAAAGTGAGTTTATAAAAGCGTGGTAAAAAAAATTGTAATTAGCACAACGGAGTTCTGGTTGAACGATTCCTTAAAAAACTGGCCAAGAGCAGAAAACGTGAGAGTTTAAGTGCAGTCTTTCGAATATATTTTGACATACAATATATTTAAGAAATTTTGTGATCCAAATCTATTTAAAATATATTAAAACTAGCTCCATGATTTTGTTTTCAGAGATCGTGCTAACAGCGTATAGGATTTTCTTTCATAAGTAAAACCAGACTCTCGAGCTTGTGTTTTGTATTCACGACGTTAAAACTGCATGAAATTGATCAAAAATTGTTTAAAATTAGTGTCTACCCGCCAAAAAGTAAGAAAACAAACGCAAAATCATACATTTTTCACAATTTTCTAACACTTCGCTACCCCATCGAATCGAACAGAAGTTTGCTCTGTTCGACAGAAAATTCGATACTCAAGGAAAATTTCGACACGGTTGCATAGCCCATAATACGAATTTCACTTTCGATCTTCGATAACAAGCGAAGATCGAAAATCGAATGCAAGTCATAATAAGGGCCATGATTCGGATTGCAGTATACCATTTCTACGATTCGTAGCAAAGTCCGAATACGAAAGTGTTGCAGAATAGGGGTGTTAATTTTCAGTTTTGGGATATATCTATGACACAGTTCCATTATTTTAGATTTAAAGATGTTATAGCTATCGGCAACATTGAGATTAAAAATTGGTCAATCATTGTCTTCAAGACACCGAGACACCGGCCGACGGTAGCGACAAGTAGCTATCGGCAGGTGTATGGGGATGCAGAAGGCGATAAACCAGCAACCGCTTGAGCCCAAGTGAGGCGAGCATTATTTTCATGAGCAGCAGAGACAGCCGAAGAACGAACATTTACAGCATCAGCATTAATATGAGCACCAACTGGACCGGGAGAAGGTGAAGCAGAGGCAGCAACAACTGTGGCGTCAGACAACAACGAACAAAGTTCGGCCACTTGAGAAGTGGCAGCATTATGCAATTCACCAACAGAGTGAAGAGCCCAGAGTGAGAGAGCCCAGCACCAATAATTTTTTTCAAATCATCAAAACTGATTTTTTAGGATTTTTTAGTGTGGCCGGCCCGGCCCGGGCGTGTTTTTGAAAGTTTGTAACGAGGTGATAGTTTATAACGGAAACTCCGTTGGTTTGTTGTTGGTGTTTCTTTTATTATAAAAAAATGTCGAAAAAGTCTTTGCACAAAATTTAATAGTAAAAGTATAACTGTAACAAACAATACAACATTTGGTGTATCTGCGGTGAGCCTGAATACCATCTGCTCTACAGCGGCCAACTACCGTTGTCCACACTGCGAATACATATATGCAAGCAGATAACCGCTTAGCAGCGGCCAACTATCGTTGTCCACACTGCCAAGGTAGTTATATGCTAGTGCTCTGCTCACCGCCGATCACCAAATGGAAATGAACGATTATGAACAAAGTGTTCGCTTTTATAGCCATTCGTATAGGAATTCGGAAATATGCAAACAAAGGACAAACATAGTTATATAGGACTGTCAAAACATAAAAGCATTGCCAGACAGCTTTACATAGAAGTATTGCCTGACTAAAATTTACATAAAAGCATTGCCAGACTAAACTTTACATTACACGTTTTATACAATAATGAGATCTTTACACCTAGCAATATAATATTCTAATCATATAATGAGAAACTGCTACAATCTCGTCCTTTGACGTGTAAACCTCGCCCCGAGTACACGTCAAGGTTGCTATTCACGGGTCTTCCTTGGAAGGCCACGCTTCCTCAAAGGCTGGGCAGGAGCTGCAGCTTCATCTTCGCGAGTGATCTTATATAGGGTTAGTGCGAACACATGATAGGTCCCAAGTGGAATGTTGAGGTTTTCTCGCGACGCAATCTCGTACGAGGATGAACCAATCTTGCGTATGATAACGTAAGGACCATCTCGCTTTGGGGCAAATTTTGCTGTGACGCCCTTTGCTGCTTGACTCAGAACGTGGGTGGTCATTAATACGTATGTGCCAATTTCGAATTCTTCTTGGGGACGTCTGTGTTGTCCTGCTGAAGCTTTGTTTTTATCTTGGAGGCGCTGCTAAATTTCCCTTGCAGACTTCAAGGTGTTAGTGATGCTTTGAAGGTAAGGCGAAATTTGTGGAATGAAGTTTTCGCTCTCCACTATAGCTCGTACGTCATGCTGGACATCAACGAGCGGGCGTAATTCTCTCCCGAACGTTAAATAAGCCGGGGAGAAGCTTGTACTCTGGCATTTGGCGGTATTCATCGCAAACCTGATGGAAGGTAGATGCTGGCTTCACTTAGTGTGCTCGTTGCCAACAAGAATCGCCAACTGTGCTTCGAGGTCTCGATTCTTGCGCTCGACTGGGTTAGCCTCTGGATGGTAGACGGG